AATAGAAGAAAACAAGATCCACTGTGTCTCCATCTTATTTTATCTTAGCATTTTAAACTACACACCATATTTGCCAAGAGCAGTTGTAGAAGATGCCATCGAGAGAGCCTTTAAAGTCTGGAGTGATGTGACACCACTAACGTTCGAAAGGGTCTTTGAAGAGGAAGGAGATATTGTGTTCTCCTTCCACAGAGGAGGTAAACTCTTCAACCTCACATTGCTCTTCAATCTCCCGGTCTTTGTGGGAACAGTTCTTTGTTGAAGAACATTATTCATTTTCTAAGGTTGAGAAGGAAATTAATATCACATTGGATGGAAGTACATTGACTGCCCAACAAAACTCTGAACTAACTAACGTGAGAACTAAATGAGTCTTTTGTTGAATTTTCATTTCTTGCAGACCATGGTGACGTTTACCAATTTGACGGATCTAAATATCACTTTGCTCACGCTTTTCTGCCAGGCCCAGGTTTGGGGGGCGATGTTCATTATGATCTTGATCAGAAGTGGACCGACAACAGTGAGAGTAAGTTCACTGACCTTTTCGAAGTTCACTTGGCCCTTCCTAGTTCCTTGCAGGGTTGGCTTATTTAATGGACAGAGTGCGTTAATGGAAACAGAGAATCTATCACCACTCAAAGAATTATGAATACATTGAGAAGCATGGAACAGGAGTATTTTCTGATTGCATTTCATCTTCTTGGTGGCAAACAGTTCACTCTGAAACTTCTCTGTGCTATGTCCTCTGCGTAAAAGCTATGATTCTTTACCTTGAGATGTTCATGGGGCTCCTAACAGTGAGAGTTGGTGTGTCTCTGACTTTTGCCTGTGCTTAGGAGCTTTTTGTTCCTGCTAGGTTTCCTCATCAAGCTGTGATTTGAGTGTTTGTACCTAGTCTCACTGTATCTTGTGCTGTATTCTGTTTATATCACTGGGGAACTTGTTTTCTGAAGGGACAAAGGGACGATATGAGAGAAGGGACGTGAGGGAGAAACTGAGAGGAGTGGGGGGAGGCTGCAATCAGGATATATTTTATGAGAGAAGAATAAAAAAAGATAGAAAAAAAGAAAATACTGAAGGCTGCTGAGATGTGAAATCTGAAATCCTCATTTTGATTCTCAGAATCCATTTGGTGAATGAAAACTCAGTTTTTTTAGTTGTTCTCTATCTTCTACACAGGCATCCTCAGTACACACTGTGCTAATATGCATAGGTGTAAGCATATACACATGCTTACATGTGCATGTGTGTGCATGCACATATGAACAAACACAGATATAGTAAACAAAGAAAATAACAAGTTTTTTTTCAAAACAAAGAAAATGTTGAATGTCAATGTCATACTTATGGACCCAAAATTATCCTTACAGAAATGATGCAATAAAACTTAACAAATTTGATATTAAACTTGGAAGACTGAATGATAAGAATGTTTTTTGTACTTTACAAATTTCACAGCACTGTGTGTCCATCAGCTTTGTAAATAAGAAGTGCTAACTGTTAGCAGAGCTTCATTGCTCCTCTGAGAAGGAACTCATCCCAGCTCAGAGTTAACATGGACTCATGTGAGCTGGACCTTAAGTCAGTGAGAGCTCTATTATATAATATAATCCCAGAGTGTAGGCTTGACTATACCTCTTTATTATTAATAGATGCAGACTTCTACCATCAGGAAAAGCCAATATATACATATATGTAGTTCAAAAAGTGACTAAGAAGATGTGAACCTTTACCCTGGAAGAGTATTTCCTTTATAATACCTCAACCCCATTTTTAATAATTAGATGGATCACTTTGTCCTTCCAGATTTCAACTTGTTCTATGTTACGGCTCATGAACTGGGCCACTCTCTTGGACTCTCCCATTCTAATGATGAAGAGGCACTAATGTTCCCCAGCTACACATGGGGCAATAAAGACTTTGTGCTAAACCAGGACGATATTAATCGCATCCAGGCTTTATATGGTAAGTGAGTCATCCTTAGCTGCACAGTCGAAGGCATTTTCATCCTCCAGGTGGCCTTTCAGAACCATGGAAAGTAACTCCAGCTCTCTTCTATTCTTTAGGATCTTCACCAAATCCCATCCAGCCAACAGGTGCAGCACCAAATCCATGTAATAGTGGTCTAACTTTTGATGCTATAACTACATATCGCGGGGAGGTGATATTCTTTAAAGACAGGTAAGATCCTTGTTTTTCCTGGGCTATTTATTCACTATTATAGCTCACAAATATGGCTCATATGTTAATTGTAAAGTATGTGGTAGCAAATGCTCTCTCTGTCTCTCTGTCTCTGTCTCTGTCTCTGTCTCTCTCTCTCTCTCTCTCTCTCTCTCTCTCTCTCTCTTTCTCTCTCTCTCTTCATCTTTACAAGTTATAATGACTCTGGTTTTCCACATGGATTAAGTCAACTGGTTTAGACATAGCATAACTGTAGGAAAAACCTGAAAATTCTGTGATTTTTATAGATCTGTAAAAAAAAGTTCCTCTGAAAAGGAGTTCCTCTGAGAATAAAAGTTCATGGGTGGTATAAGAGATATTAGTCCCCTGCCCCCAATTTGGAGTTCTTTTCATGATATCAATCTGTGTGTTGATGAGTAGGATGGTGCTTGACCAAGAGAAGTGAGTCTTTTTAAGATCCATTTTCTTAACACTACATGCCTCTAAGTCCTCATGAAGGGTTTCTCTGCTCTTTAGAGGCTCAGGGAAGAGGAGGGAAGAAGCCATTGCTGGGAGAGTTCTGAGTCCTTAGCTCCTCCCCCAGGCAGAGAAGAGCAGCCAGGATGCTTGCATCACCTCCTCAGAGGAGGGAAGTAAAATTCCCTGTCAGTGTGTGGGCCTGAAAGCATGCCAGTCCCCTTCCACAGAAGGACCACACTGCGTCC